TCTTGACATGCTCACTAGCCATCATGCTCACCCTTCTCTTCCAGATCCACTTCCTCATGATACTGTCTTCTAACTGGGCCTACTTAAAGGATGCCAGCAAAATGCAGGCCTACCAAGATATCAAAGCAAAAGAAGAGCAGGAGCTTCAGGATATCCAGTCTCGGTCAAAAGAGCAACTCAATTCTTACACATAAATGTGTTTGCCACAGTAATTCAGCAGAAGAATTCTGTAGCTCTGACAAATCAACAGATAGCTGCTCTGCAGTACAGATGTGTGTCTACCAAACAAAATTAGAGAGAAGTGCAAAAGCTTCACATTCCAGCTCCTGGATCACATTCATAGGGAAATCTTCCCGTGGGTAATCTTCCATCCTTTCTTACAGAGAATGGAGGTTTTATTACAGGCATTTTAAAAGGCAACACTTCACAATAAGTGACTAAATTATTCTTCTTCGAGACTTTTGGTGTTTAGTATTTGGCCGCGTTCTGCAGCGCGCCGTCCCGCGCAAAGCCACGGCGGGTGCTGCAAACCAGCCGGCAGTGGGTCCCTGTGCGGGCCTTTGCCGGCGGCACGTGTGCGGTTCCGTATCTCGGTTTGGGAACCAAACGCAGCTGCTGTGGCCGGCTCAGGTCTCCGACAGCTCCTGCTTATGCCGTGGCACGGCTGCAGCGCTTCCTAGGTTGCAGCAGGGCCGTCTTTGACCACTCTCTCCGTGGGCCACAGGAACAGCGCTCCGCTTCCGTGCCACGCTTTTTTTACGACGAAGCGGTCACGCTTCTGTGCTGATGGGAGCGTTGAGCAGATGTCCCAAGTTTTAATCTTTTTATTAACTGTTTAATGGAATGTAGATCCCCGGATCTGGATAATGATCCCCTTCTTTGAAAATAAATGTCAGCTTTGCCTTAATATTTATTTTCTATAAATGTCTTAGCATTTATATAGCAGCAGGAGACCATTATCCTACATTTTAAGTAAGTGAAAAGTGTTACCTTATTAAAATGACACTGATCTGACTTTTCCAAATGAGCGGATGAGGAAGTTTGCAGAGTTTTACACAAACGATAAAAATTACAGCCATAAAACAAAACAACAGGATGTCCACCTTTCTCTATCTTGGTGCTTAGCAAATTTATAGTCAGTGCTTACGTGTTTTCCTTTTTACAAATTAATTAGCACATTAAGAAAACGTGGTGTTCGGAAAACAAACAAACAAACTGGTGCCATTTTAAGGTCGTTTCCCATAGAAGTCTGCCTTCTAATTAATGTTTTTTTCAGAAGCATTCAGTGATAAATCTTGAGTATTAGTGATGGTATATTTGGTGTTTGTTCTATATGATATATATATATATAAATGTTGGGGGTAAAACACATCAGTCATTTGAAAAAAATTATTCAAGTCATACCCATGCTAAGATGACGTGTGGTTTGATGGTTCTGACTGTTTGCTGAATACAAAGGAAAGGAAGCACAAATTTCTTCCGAGTCAGTATTGAGAGAAGAGGCATTTTGGGGGGGTATTAACTTTAAATACAATTTTTTTTTGTTGCGTATTGAAGTCTAATTTGACAGTTTCAAAAACGGGGCAGAGTTGATCAATGTAGAGCAAATATGAGAAAATAGCCTAGTGTATGTTCCTACCTGTTGCATGAAGGAGACATTTCTACAGCAACGCAGGTGATGTTCTAGCCCAGTGTTTGCATAAGGGTAATAATGGAGGCAGTGTCTTAAAGCCTAATTCTTTTCTAATTCAGTGTAGCTGTTACTGGGAGTTTTTGAAGTTTTGTTTAAGTAGTCTAATATTTTTATGTAAAGAGCATTAAATTTTGCTATGTATAAATTTTTGTAACCTAACAGTGAATCAATATTTTCTATCAGTGCCAAGGGCTTCCTGTAGTTACATCCAAGTGTTAAAATAAATATTTGTAGATAATAGACCACACCCGTGTACGCTTATTTGAAAACAGACCTACAGCTACTCTCTACTAGCGCATCCTCTGGGCTTTATGTCTCTTTCCTGAAGTTAAACACCACGTTTTGTTCGGTGGTGTCCATTTGCTCCCGCACGGGGAAGGGATGCCCTGTAGCTGTGCGCTTCAGCATGGTGAGTCAGCGCCTGTTTCTAGCATGAGGCATTGGTAGTTGTTCCAGGCCAGCATAATGCAACAAGCACTACTCCTCCCAATCCGGACATCGAACGGACAGAGTCTCTCCTCAGAAATTTTGTAAATGGCAGCAGCGTTGCTGCAACACCAAATGAAGTGGCGTGTCAAGTTAGACCAGCCACCAAATAAATCACTTTCTGTCTTGATTTCTAGAAGCGAGGTTTATTTCTGTCACGTTTTTGGTACATGACGTTTCAACACCTGGTGAAGTCACAGGACAGAGCTTTGGTTTTTGCCCCTAAATTCTGTCAAACTTGGCTTCATGTTCGTGTAGCTAGGTCATGACGAGCAGCCTCAAATGCAGTGCAAGTTGTACAATATGCTGCCACCCAAAATTACTTCATTGATAAAAGATACTGTATTTTATACTGTAAATAAAGTTTAATGATCTTGCCTATAATCTACCTACAAAATACAAAGCTTAAATAAAGATGAGTTAAATAGCATTTTCATTTGAATCTCTCCATTCTGGGCTGGTTGATACCAACAAGGTGATAACAATGACACAAGATAAGGCTGCCTCTAGAAGGGTTTGCTTCCCCTGCTGCAGCAGTAAACGGGGCACATCAGCTCGGGTCTGTCACACTCCGCTCTCTGAAGCTGCACCAGCCAAGAGTCTCCACAGGACACCTCTAAAAACACAACCATGACTGAATTTTTTTGCTACCTGAACACTGTTACCTTGACCTACAGTTTGTAATAGTTGGAGGGGAAGGGGGTGGGGGGGCACCACTTGAAAAGCTGTCAAAGTTTGTAGGAATTCAGTGCCAAAGCTGATCCAGCAGGACATACGGATTCATTTCTTTATACGGCTTTGTCCTTTCTCTCACCCCGCTCACGGGCCTCCTGGATTAATCATCAGGGCTCAGTGAAGTCAATGACTGAAGCGACAAAACAGCTCAAAAATCAGCTTTATTAATTTGTAATTGTACAGCCTGCAGTCTTTGTGCCTGACATTTATTACAGCTTCTTACAGGTAGAAATCCACTTTAAAAACATTTTTATTGTAGTAGTAATAATAGCAATTTTTAAAAGTCAGTATCTGTTATTCACCAGAAGTTTTCATCCGTGTCTCCCTGAGAAATGCCTGTAGCACTGTATTAAGGATAGGAGGGAGGGAAAGAAAGGGATAGGTGAGTCCAGAGTAGTTTCTTATTTTAAATACAAATACTTGTTTTAGAGAGAAAAGTTCCGTGCAGTTTGAGAGACCGCATATAATCACCGGCTTTGTTACGTTCACCCACGCTGCCCTTCTCTTACTGTTTCAGTGAACTGAGGTACATAAGCCTTTAAGGGTGAGGATTTGGGCCTTCAAGAGCAGAAAAGCCATCTCAGCTACCAAAGAGCAGTATGAGCTGTCCACTGCTCTCGCAGTGGTCACCCAGAGAAAAGAACACTGCACAGATACCAGTTCAGGCGCACCAGGGTCAGGTCTGGTATGTGAAACAGCACTTTGAAGGCACAGATAATGCTGAATCATTACTACGGTTAGTGCGGGCGTTTAATTTTGTTAACCATTCTATATTTTTTGCTTATGTATCTTTTCAATTCCACATCTTCAAATAAACTGAAAGGTTTGATAGATGTGGGGTTAGGTTTGGGTTTTTTCCTTCTCTTACCAAGCAACTGGAAACTACGTATCCTTATTTATCAAGGTCTAGAGAGACCCAGAGGAAATGCCCCAGCTGTGGTAGCTGTGCAGGCAGCCAAAACCTCTGGAAAAAGTCTGTGAACTAGATGATTGTTGAAAGTCCACGCTGCTATGGATAAACCAAAGCTGGATTCAGTAACAGACCATCTGCAAAGGTGCAGTGCAGGCGAACTTTCACGGGGTCATTACCCACGACAAATCCCTCGTTCTGTGAAAGAACGGGGATGCTGCTCCGTGGCAGATAAAAGGTTTTAATTGCCACAGCTACTGAAACAGATCACAGAGTGGAGCTCCCAGATCCCCATGCCGTGTACTGCAGAGCTTCTCTCTAAGAGTTGGAAGGATTCTCAATTTCTCCAACATGTTTGCTTTTGATTACTGGTTTGTTTATATTTTATTTGCTTTTTAAGAAGGCAGATGTCTCTTAACTGTAATTCATACCATAACTATTTATTAACATAGGGTAATAGAAGTGATTAATAATAATACATGAGCCTTACCTGTCATCCTTTTCACTAGCTGTAAGTCCCTCCTCTGTAAGCGACACGTCTTTTTCTTCTTTCTTTGAATCCTGGCAGACAACAGGAAAACACACTTCCTGTAACAGGTTCTTAAGTCAAAGTTTATGTGACTCTTAATAACAGCACCTGTACTTTAGGGCACCTAATTGAAAATAAGCCCCCTATTTCTACAAATGCTGCACTGCATCTAGAATAATGACCCTTTGGAAAATCAGGATGGGATAGCTGGAACAAAAATATGGCTGCAGTGTTTCATCAAAGTAACGTTCGCCCATGTACTAACCTGTGTAGATTCAAACTATTTAAACACAGTTTAAAATAAAAATGGGGGACATTTAAATTTAAATATTGTCCTAGTACCTAAAAACCAAACACACACACACCCCACCCCCACCAGCATACCAGGAAAAACCCCACAACTCTTACAAAAGAAAGAATTTTCAGGTTTTTTCTTTTGAATCAAGACATTTCTGCAATACAAATCCAAACACTCATCTCTGCAGGTTGTTACGTAAAGCTTCTGAATGAGAATATTGTTTTCATTCTAAGCATATTCTACCGAGACATAAATTCAGCCAGTAATATTTTTAGGACTGGGTTTTGAGAATAATTACCTTGTTTGCCAGTTCCTGCTCTCTGCTCTGCTGAATTATTCTCATGTATTTTTCTAATGGATTTGGAGTAGGATCTTTTAAGTCATCTTCAGCACCAGAATTACTATTTTCAAATTTTCCTCCCTCCTTTTCTTTGTCATCTATTTTCATTGAGTCTTGGGTCCACTTTAAGACACAAAATCAAAATTAAATACTGATCAGTTCCAGAAATAACACCTTTATACATAAATATCTGCACTACATGCAGGATTTCATGTCAACCTTGGTAAAACATGCCAGTCTCAACAGCATTAAATCTGTTACGCACTGTTCAAGATGAAGCGTTAAGCTATTGCTTCAATTCAAAAAGTGACATTGAAGTGGAAGTTCCCACTCTAACCCTGTCTGGATGTCTGGGATGCTGTGAGGCCTGAGGCTTCTACGTATGACATCTACACGAAAATTGAAGAAGATGAGCTGGCACAGGTATGCAAGTTTCTTGAAGGGCCTAGTTTGCCAGCGCAGAGGGCAGCACGAGCACGTCTGATC